CAGGCTTGCTTAGCCATGAAATTGCCATCTCAATCGGATGTTAGGTTGGCTTACGTGAGCAAGTAGTTCCACTGTCAGCTGAATGTCAGTGCAGGCACGAGGGACTGGTCCGATTGCAGCTGGGGTATGTGGAAGAGAAAGAGCAGAAACACCAAAGAAAAACACACAGAAAGAGAAGGAAATCGTAGGTATCACCAGAGGAGTCCTTATAGATCTCTACTGAAGAAAAGCTCAGAGAACTTTTTGATAAAATTACTGTAGAAAGTCATATAGATGTCTGTCTACAGAGAAATTTTCTCCTAGTGTATTATTTGTACATTTAATCAATCCTGTTTATATACAAAGATGTGCCTGAACCTATTACCTGTTTCTTCGCCTAAGAGAAATGCTCACAGGAGCCCCATTTTATTCATGTTGAGGAAAACAAACCAACCAACCAATCAAAACCCAAAAAACAAATTAACCCAAAAACCATGTTTGCTTCCAGACAGTAGATGAGTGTCCAGTGGATGCTGAGTGCAGCTGAGTAAGAATACAGAGAGAGAAAAGGAAAGAGCCAATGGAAAACTTAGAATACGTAATATTCATATTCAGAATAATTTCTCTTATGTGAACTCAATTGATAATCTCAGGTGCCGTGATCAAAGGTAGCTACAGTAACACACTGAGAAATCTTTGCCTAGACAGGTCAACTGCACTTTCATTAAAAGACCACATGGAAGACATTTTTCAACTTTTTCCCTACTTGAGCTAACCACCTGGAACTTGTTTCTCCATGGAGAACCATTTCCTCATGTGCCTCTAAGAGTCTGTGGAAGTATTTTCCCTATGTAACCCTTTATCATCTCAGCTGTCTCAAGAATACTGTTACAAAACACCTGTCATCAAAAGCTGTAGCTTAAACTGTTGATTGTCTAATGCTTTTTTTTTAAGCAAAAATTGATCCCGGTAAGAAAATAAAATGTATTGTTCTGAAAAGGTTGGTGTGACATCGTGAGCTCTGTAGCCCACGGTGGACTGGACAGTCACGAGTGCTTTTCAGGGGCTGAATTTGAAGGTGTTTCCTTAAGAGTAAGGAAAACAGTGAGATTCCGCTACAGCACAAGCAAAGGGAGAGAGGGCAGAAACGCAAGCAGCTCAATTTGAAAGATGAAGTCTTCAGAGGCATAGCTATTAGCTATGTAAAGGTTAAACTATGGGCAAAATTCTGCATTGTAATTCTTCAAAGGATTCAGAATGTACTCCCAGTTTTGGACAAAGATTTTGCCCACCAGTTCTAGAATGCTTTAAGGCTAGCAATGCGCTGATACCATTTAAGGGGTATTTTATTGCAGTCTACAAAAGTGATCGTAACTAGCGTGGCCATAGGTAAAGACCAACAGTATTTTGGAGTAGCACAGGTGTCAAAATGGGTGCATGAGTGAAATGTGCAGGGGCTTATTCCTATGCCAAAGATGTGCGACTGCACATTAGGCCTAAGATCACCAAAAGTGGTAGAATCTGGCACAAAATAGCAGAGAGTTGATGTGTCACTACTTGACTGCAGAACAGCGTGAAGGTCACCAGCATTTCTACATATAAGCATATTTTTAATACAAATTTTCATTTCAGGTTGCAATAGGTCAATGTTAAACAGTATTAATTCGAGGACAGTAAATGCTCGGTTCTCCCCTTCTTTAGCTAGAAGAAAACCAGCAGCAAGTAGAGAAATTTAACTGTTAACCAGTAACAGTAGCATATTTGACTTCCCTCACCCTGAAATTGCTCTTTTTGTAATGGTTAACTGCCCTGTTGTAGCTCACAGCAGGGGGGCAATTTTCCCATCAAAGGAGGTAAGATAAAAGGAAAGAAAAATTCCTTCCATCACATGTGTTGAAATCCATTTGGAAGGACAATCATTACTGTACACTAAACAACTCCAGGTAGGAAGGTCTAGACCAGTTTTAGTCTTGCAACAATCACTGGGGAAAAGGAGCTGTTAAAAGAATTCAGTTTGAATTTAAGGCATTTTCTGTTTATCTTCTCTCAGGTTTTATGGCTTCTTGTACCCAAGGCGTGGCAAAAATCCAGTGGAATCAAAGTCTCTATATTTTATTATGCAGCCTCCTGGAAAGAGCAAAGCAGATAGATAGCATTAAAAAGTATAGACAAAAGTCATGTTCCAAGCATGCCTAAAGTGTTTTCAAGTAAAGAAAACTTATCTGTAGTCAGAATTTGTTTGGACACATCAGAGACTCATCTGTTTGTTCATTGAATAAGCCCATAAGATGCATGCTTGATTGATTTTTTTACAATTTTTAATAATCTGAGACTTAAAAAAAATTACTATGTAATAATGCAGTATCCAAAGTTACTTCCTAAACATTGGAGAGTCTGGAGATGTTTGGCTCAGAATTAGCAAGGAAAATGCAGCTTCAAGTGGATCATTTGTTCATGAAGTTTTTAAAATAGTTTAAGATGAAAATGGTATCAGGATGACTTCATGATCTGATATCTGTGAAATCTAAGCGAGTTTTTGATGATGGTAGAGATTGGACCTGGTCCTTAATATGTATATTAATATATTTTTTATATATGCTGTATCATATCTACTATGTAGAATTATAGAAATTGTCTTAGTAAAGACTGCAACATTAACCCAGTCTGACTTTATGTTATGTTCTTTGAACCACAAATGGGTTATTTTACATTTTTTGTCTATTGTTCTGTTTTATTCTGTTGATGTATTTTTGTTAAATATAAATTGTGCCCAAGGATATTCTTCTGATTTATCAGGCTACTGTTCATAGTGTATTTCGAATTTGAGCTTGGTTCAGTGGGCAAGTCGCCTCCGAGTCTGATGAACTGAAATTATCCAGACAGAATTGCACGTTTGGGCCAGCTCAGCAAAAGTGCTATTAGCTCTTGTGATAGATCCTGGATTCTTAAGAGAACAAATCATAACAGACTCACTCAACCAAAGAATGATGGGAGTACTGAAAAGCATTTAAATATTTCAGGAATGCAAATAACTAAATAAACTTACCGAAATACTGGGGGAGGGCAGTTTAGTTTTGTGTTACTAGCAAATTTCACCCATTCAGGTGATAGGATGGGGGAAAAGCACCCAAACAGTGTCCATAACATTTACCTATCTGTCACCTCAAAAAGAGGTTCAGAGGGCATCGTGTTAGTAGGCACATTAAAAAAAAAAAAATCAATTGCCTGTACATACATGCCATGAATTCACGTAGTCCAAGAGCCTAATTTCAACCCTACTGATAATTTTTTTCCCTGCAAGATCATGGCCCAGCTTTATTTCTGAATTGCAGCAAATGTAAGCAGCAAATGGCAACAGGTGACCTGCAGCAAAGATCCAGTTTTCAGGTGGGATTTTTAATAACTGACAAGAAGGAAAGTAAGAATGGAATAAATAATGGTAGGTATGATTTTTCAGTGGTGCGTTTGCTTCATACATGGACCATCCTGCACACTCAAGTGGTAATCGTTAGAGGTTAGCAATGAACCAAAGGCAAAATCAGGCACCGCATCTCCAGTGGAGAAAGCATACATCCGAATCGGCAAAGGAATACGGAAAAGAAGCCAGGGCTGAAGCAGTCACTCATGTTGTAGAAACTGCCTTTGGGTGTTGGCTGTGGCTTGCCCCTGCCCCCAGGCCAGGCCAGGCCAGGCCAGCTGCCTAGCATTTTCGTGGAAGGTCTAGAAAAAGTCTGGTTTATTCTTGAGAGGGGAAAAACTGACCCCCTTAGTAAGAAATCCCAGGAGGAGCTGGCCAGATGTCAATGAAATGCGTGTTTTTCAGCCACCCTCCTCCTCCGCCCGCCCCGGCGGGGCAAAACGCGGCAGAGCGGCGGGGCAGGCGCCAGGCCGCAGCCTGCCACCACCTCAGGCTCCCGGCCCTTGACGGCGGGGCCGGAGCCCGCCAGGGGACAGACTCGCGGGTGGCGAATCCTCTACTCACCGACACCCGTGTGAAGGGCGGCCCCTCCGCGGCGGGGCGGGGGACCGGTACCGGCGGGT